CTTTGCGTTACAAAATTCCTTAATCTTTTGATCGAAAACTCAAGTTGATATAAACTATGTTCTGATTTCTAGTATAACTTTGAATGTTTTGAATACAATAGCTCCGTAACGATTGAAAATAACGCGGTAAAGTTGTCGATTTCAAAACAAAATGGCGTGCCGAAGACGGCTAATGAAGGTCGTCAAAAAGTCTTCAAATGTCATGATTTTCTCTTCAAACTGTCCAAAAAGCCTTTTGCCCTTCATTACTTTATGTTATATGACACTTATATATTATTTTTATATATGTCTCGAAGTGACCATAGACATGTCTCGAACCGTCCATACGATGTGTCTCGAAACAACCGAAAATACGTGTCTCGAACTGGCAATGTCTCGAAACGACTGGTATTCCTGTAGTTTGTCTTTCACTATGAACGACTTGGTGGTTGAAATAAAACTTCAAACAAAGATAATATTTTACCATAACCTGTAACTTAAAACAAAGTAATATAATGTCAAATAGTTTCCAATCTAACGTATTTGGACTTGATAGTGTTTGTAGCAAACAGAGGGCAAGCGAAGTTTTACCGTAGTCTGTTTCCGATTCGAAGCATAGTTACTCTATTAACTATGTTCGAAGTGATAATTCGAGCGATACTGTAGTTTGTCTTTCACTACGAACGAGTACTGGGTAGTTGAAATARAACTTCAGATTGAGATAATATTTTCCACAACCTTTAATACAATGTCAAATTGTTCTAATCTTGATTGTGTTTGTTAGTATCATAGAGGGCACGCTTAGTAACCGTAGTTTGTTTGTGATTCGAGTTGTTGATCCGAGCGATAGTTTGTCTTTTTTTAATGATCACTCAAGAATTTTACTTGCACAACACTGTTCTAATAAATATAAATAGTTTAAATATGTTTCATCTTTACTAAGTATTGGTCTAGAATGTTCTTTTAGTAAAAGAAAAAAATGCAGTTTTTTTACGCTTTATCAACAAACGAAGGCAAGTACCTCGATTACAAGCTCAAGATCGGACACAGGCCACAAAGCCCACCGGGTTTGGGGGACTTCCCTATAAAGCATGGTAGGTATTCTCGATGGACCTTTTAGGGTCGAAAATAAATCTCTTGTGTACCTTTTAGGGTTCTGAGCTGACTCCGTACCTTTTTGGGTCATTTTTTGAACAATGGGAAAAAATTGAAGAAGTTTTAATAAAGAAATAGATTTTATTAACCTCAACAATCTATCGACATTGATTTTTTACAGTTTGTTAAACTTGAGCTTTTCTCTTGTTGAAGACGTCAAAAATGCTCGTACCCCTGGGGTCTGGAATCATTTTTCAGTCCGTCCGTTGAGCATACCTACCATGCTTTAAAGGGAAGTCCCCCCTTCCCCGTGCACAAAGCATAAACAGATTGCTCTGTTTCCTGAAGTTTCTCTGTGTGTTTCTTCTCTTCTTTCAGCATAATATGTCTGTTCTTACATGAATGATGGACGCATTTTTCCAGTTCAAAGCGAACAACCGCTGATTTAGTTGACAACAGTCTATGTGATACAACTGTAATATGTTTAATTTTACGACATGCATTTAGATTTTCGGTTAGTTTTTAGGAGGAGTARTGATCGAGCTCAAAAGAATCCATGGTTTGACCTTGGGAAACCGGCCTGTCAGCCCGAAAAATGAAATTCTCGTGTTTCGTCAAAAATAAAAATCTGAGTGAACTAAGAGTTATATTTCTAGAATTAGCTTATCTACAGCTATGTTCTGACAAAGTTTGAAAGAATTTGTTTTTTCGATCTTGCACACCTTAGGTCGATAATTATGGACGGTCGCTCTTAACTATTACATGGTAAACGCAAAGGGAAACCATAAAAGCGCGGTTACTAAGCAAAACAAAATGGCGTGCGATCGAAGTGAAAAGTTTTTGGCCTGTTTTTTCTTTAGATCGTTTGATTATACTCAAACGTATAACTCACAATTACTTGAAAGGACAGAAAATCTGAAGCCTAATAGTCTATGAGACAAATACATCTCTTTTAGCACTGAATTAAGTACTTAGTTAACAACAAATAGTTAACGCAAGTCGAGTGGATCATTGCAACAAGAACTTAAACAAGAACTTTGACATTTCAAGAACTCCAGAACTCTTGATTAGTTTCTGCTCTAGAAAAATAGCAATAATACAATGTTATATGTGTGGGGCGAGATCACTTATATATGGGGCGAGATCACGGGGCGACATCACTTCGGGGCGACATCACTGGTATTCGTAGGGTTCCTTAAAAGAATTAGGGATGATTTCTAAAGATTCTTTATCAACTTGCATGCCACTACAGCCAGAATT